GGGCGTGTCAGCCAGTATGAGTGTGCACAGCGTCAAGGCCGTTCTCTGCCTTCTTGTTGAAGCGCGCATGCGACAAAAAGTGGTAGAAAACGAATACGATCGATATGATACAGTCATATCATTTGTTCGCTTTAAAAACTGGTGGAGAACGGGTTTGGCACCGCGCCAAACGCAGCCGCACTGACACGCCCAACCGTCCGCAGAGAACTACACTATACTATTTGGGATAGTCGATCGGAGGGGTGTTTCCACCTCCCCTGCTTGCCACTCGAGAACTGAGTTCTGGACAGTTTCGGTATGAGCGTGTATACGCTGTGGGAGAGGGGTCGCACCGTAGATAGACAGTGGAGGATCGCACTTACACCGCTATTTCACCACCCACCTCCGTGCTGTATCCTGCGGAGAAGGTACTACGCTACCAGAGAGATCATTTTGCAGCTGAAAGGCTATCTGCTAGCTGACTCAGATGCTGGTATAAAAAAATCGTCAAGAGAGTCTCGAGTCTTGGGAGGGGTATTGCTCTCTCCACTTTCGCTAGTTCTTTTGCTAATTCATGTTCACCAACACGTTTGGATTGGCAAAACATGTAAACCCTTGTCAAGCAGCAAAAGGGTACAGTGAGCCGCTTTGTTTACAAGAGTTTACAGGTCTTTGCAAGGCGACTATACAGATTTCGATGAGTGCCACTTGTTGCCCTACCAAGCCGAAGCGCCTGCTTTTGTTACCATTTTTTTCGTCAAAGTAAGTAGGGAATGCAGAGTCTGCGTTGACCGTATGAGCGGACTGGGCACAACGTGCTGCATTTCCTATTGGCACTAGCCTTCTGACTAGCACTTCATAAAAGCTCATCGAGAGAGAAGGCATCATTGTTCATTTTGACTCTACCCACAAAATCGCGTAGGCTGTACGCTTTGGGCTAGCCATCAGCCGTTCTCTAAGGTTTACATTCTTTAGTAGCCAGGATCCTCTTCAACGTGGTAGAGAACATGTTTGGCTCCGCGCCAAACCCATCCTCCTGACGCGCACGTTCATACGCGGTGAACCATAGTATTTCTGAACGACTCACCAAACTTCATAACGATGGTGGAACACTTGATCGGGTCCGAGCCTTGGCGGTATGTGCGGTACGGGATCACGATGGTGAATAATACGGTAGGCGTATGGGAACTATAAACGTTTCGAATAATTCAGAAATTTCAGCGCGTTTCTAGCACGCGACTATGTGACTCGGAGATTCAGCGACTAGCGGTGAATTGTTGCTCGTTCATCATCGAAGTGAGTTTGGTTTGAAGTTGCCCGAGTCCTAACGCTCAACCGACTAAATCGCGAAAATCGCTTGATTGTCGATGACTGTAGAGACGCCTGTCACGCCTTCTAGGTGAGAAAGAGCGGTTCCTTACCGTTGCCTCATGCCATGCAGCGAACTCGTAATCGCCAGTTCGAGGCTGGCCAAGTGTAACCAGTCGTAGATTTTCTGGCGCTGTCATGTTCCATTTCACCAGATATGAAGCGCAGATACAAGCGATTGACGCACCCAACGAATGACCAGTTACCTAAATCAATGCAGATGATCGTATCGAGTCAGTACATGTAAAGTCCATATCTCTTGGTTGGAAGGGGAGTGTCTACAGAAGAGGGCGTTAGCGGTAGGCTCAGGCCGAAAAGGGTGATGCGTTCAATGACATTGTTTTTTTCGTGCCGTGTGTTGAAAGGGCAAAGCCGTAGATGGGAGGCGGTCAAGACAATCGTATTTTGCCGCTCCGTCGCGCGTGGCGATGGGCGCGGCGTTTACTGTTCGCATGAGCTTGTTGCTTGGAGCACTGGATTCCACGCATTATAATACCGTAGACGTTTACGGATACTTTTGCTTATGCATTGTCTACTGTCGCCATCAACGACCTAGAAATATCGTCATTTGCGGCGCGACGTCGCACACGAAGCCCACTACCGCGCCGAGTTACGATTTTTTCGTCACACACCAGCCGTAGACACACCCTTTCCAACGCCGTGATATGAACTGCAGATCATCTGATGACCAACTCATGATGTCCATAGGCTTACATAGAATTTATAGCTGGGATATTGGTACTTTAGTGTGCGCACTTGTTGCTCGAGGCCACCATTCCACAAGTAGAAAAAGGCATCATGAAAATATTTGAACAGATGACCATTATCGAAGAATTGCACTCTTTTTCTGAAATAATTGGTTCCAAAATAATTGGTTTTTGAATGAACAGAAGTAGCCACTTTCATTAAAACTTACTCGAAGAAACTCAAAACTTCGTCGGTCATCTGGTTACTACCATCGGTTCCACGGAAAGCAATGATAATTGCTTTCTCGACGGGATCCCAAGCCGTATAACCATGGCAGTTGACGTCTGAATAGGCTCGGGATGATGAGAATAGTCGCATCACTAGATCTTATCCAATAGCACTTATACCTTTGCAAACTGACAGGGAATTTTTCCCATAACATCTAAAGGAACCCCGGCAATTATAGTCGTTTCCGCAGCAGACGATGGGATGTGTCACAGAGCTAGGCCGGGTTAGGCGCGGTGTCAGTGAAGTCAGCCGCTTGAACAACTCATTTATTCGCAGCCTTACAATTTGCAGCTAGAGATACACGGTTCCCCGCGAAATTTATTGCTTAGTGAAATGACCATGGTCGAGACGTCGAGACACACCGCGGGGTTGCTAGCCTTGAAAGAGAAGTTTGA